AAAAAAAAAAAAAAATCCAAAACTAAAAACTAACTTTTTTACCCATTTAAAAAAAGTTTTGTAGCATTTTAAAATATGAGATACACTTCACGTAACATAAAGTTGACCATTTTTAAGTGTACACAGTAATTTTTTTATTTTTTTGAGACAGAGCCTCAAGCTGTCACCCTGGGTAGAGTGCTGTGGCTTCACAGCTCACAGCAACCTCCAATTCCTGGGCTCAAGCGAGTCTCCTGCCTCCACCTCCCAAGTAGCTGGGACCACAGGCGCCCGCCACAATGCCCGGCTATTTTTTGGTTGCAGCCGTTATTGTTGTTTGGCGGGTCCGGGCTGGATTCGAACCCACCACCTTAGGTGTATGTGGCTGGCGCCTTAGCCACTTGAGCCACAGGCGCAGAGCCAATTTTTTAATTTTTTTAGAGTAATTTTTAGTACATTCACTATTGTGCAACCAACTCTACTTGTTCTAAAATATTTTTGTTCCTCCTAAGTAATCCCCATTTCTGTTAGTTATTCCCATTTCTCCTCCATCCCCATGCCCTGGGAACCAATAACTTACTTTGTCTCCATGGGTTTGCTGATTCTGGAAATTTCACATAAATGAAATCATACAATATGGGGACTTTGTGTCTGGTTTCTTAGCTAACATTTCCAAGATTTATCCATGTTTTAACATGTTAAAGTACTTCATTACTGGGCAGTGCCTGTGGGTCAAAGGAGTAGGGTGCCGGCCCCATATACTGGAGGTGGTGAATTCAAACCTGGCTCCGGCCAAAAACTGCAAAAAAAAAAAAAAAAAAAAAGTACCTCATTACTTTGATGGCTAAATAATATTCCAATTATGGCTCTTACATATTTTGTTAATCCATAATGCCATCTGTGTATCTTCTATGTGTGTCTTTTGTCCAATTTTGTAATTGGATTGTTTGTTTTATTAGGGTGTTAATGGTTAATATAGTAAAACCCATCGCTACAAAAAATTAAAAATTAGCTAGTTGTTAGTGGCACATACCAGTGGTCTCAGCTACTTGGGAGGCTAAGGCAGGAGGATCACTTGAACCCAGGAGTTGAAGGCTATAGGAAGCTATGATTGGGCTTCTTACACTCCAGCCTGGGCAATAAAGCAAGACCCTGTCTCAAAAGCAAATAGATAAAAATTAAAATACAAATTTGCCAAACCCAGGGTCACCATTTTCTCCTATGTCATCTTCTAAAGTTTTGCATTTTACATTTAGGTCTGTGATCCATTTTGCATTAATTTTTGTGAAAAATTTGTAAGATTTATGGTGATTCCATTTGGGTTTTTTTAAATCCAATTTTTGGGGTTTTGGATATTGTGCTTTCCCAACGCCATTTGTTGAAAAGACCATCCTTTCTCCATCAAATTGCCTTGGCTCCTTTTCAGCACTTCCAAATAGTAAACTTGGTTAACTGTCTAGTTGATACAAATTCATAATGAATAATCCCTCTGATATCAAAAAGGTTTAGAAACATCTTTTTTACTCTTGATTTGGACTGACAAAACGCTTTTGGTCATAGAGAATTTGCTGACTTCCACTGTGTACTTTGATGCTTTGTTTCAGGGTCCTATTGGTACATTCATGTTTCATCTCCAGCAGTAACATGGCCTAAAACATCACCATGACACTCCAAAAGGTCTTGGCAAACTTTGACTCTCCTTTGCTTTTGTTCATCAGTGAGTTTGTTTTGGGACCATTTTGCACACATGCCAAAATTTTCAGTTAAGATTTTCCTAACTGTTGGCTTGGTGCCTATAGCTCAACCAGCTAAGGTGCCAGCCACATACACCTAAGGTGGCGGGTTCGAATCCCCAGCCCGGACCTGCCAAACAACAATGACGGCTGCAACCAAAAAATAGCCGGGC